ACAGAAGATCAATTACGTCGCCCTACATCTCAACGATAAAAGGAGCAAAATACGTAGCATATAGTACGAAGCAAGGCCATCAATCGCCGTCTAGTGTCCTAGTTTTTTTGCTAACATGGTGACCCTATATCTTGCATTGGGCGTGGGCTAGAGCCTCTGGCATGCTTCCAATGTAAATGGAACTCTGCCCCTTTGCCTCCGACTCATTAATAATGGATTATCAGAAGGAAACAGTGAAATGAGTCAAAACTATGTTCTGTATCTTAATGACTTCAGGGTGTCTACTCTAAACGGTACCTTCTACGTCTGAAACCGAAAACTGAACTCTCAGATGATGTCGAAAGAGTGGAAAGCAACGTTCAAAATTATATTTGAATGGAACTTCTTAGTGTCAAAGAAACTCCTATACCAAAAACAACATTTGTCTTGGTCTAGACATTGTCGTACTCTGTTTATTTGCAGTTTACCGGGACCAGTCCCGCAAAGCGATAGCGTGTTGATTTAGCAGAAATTTATCTCAAATGACATGGTGATTTTTTTATGTTTAAAGGATGGCAAGCATATGTTTCGTCTGATGGAACGACCACCATAGTTTATAGACACGTTACTAAAAACATGACTCGCACCTTTGGCTACCCTGACCCAATCCCCTATCTAGTGGAGCCTTGGAACCTTACTCATCGACAGAAACACAACACCACCAAAAGGGGATATACTGTACTTCCAGGGCCCAAAAGTAAAAACTTCACAGTTTTGTTGGTTGTAATTTCGCATTTTTGTTGTTAAAAAGGTTTCTGATAACCACATTATTAAAAAAAAATGTCACACTTATGCACTGGTAGTTTTTTAGAAAAAAAAAATTGAAATTTTTTACTTTTCTTATCAAGTGGTGATACTTCACACTAGGTTAGGTTAGGTTAGTGTTGTGACCATAACGCGCGAGCCGAGCGAGCAAAGCGAGCGTGCCGCGGCAGCGGCCGGCGAAGCGCCAAAAAAAAACTGTTAAAAAGACCTTTTCTACAAAAAAAAAAACAAGTATCACCTTTTGGGCCCTGGAAGTACAGTTTTACCCCAAAAGGTAATGTTATTTTACTGCGATCTTCCACTCGTAAGGTAGATGTTACTTCCCCAAGACGGGCACTCAAATTCGAGCGGAAAAATCCGCTAAGCCCTACCACTCTTGAAGATGAAAAGATGGAGAGACGGCGGATAACGATGTGTTGCTCTTAATTTCCAGAAGAAAATGTTGATGATAATTGTACAATGTTTTTATGGGTCTAATTTATCACAACCATTGTATGCGAATGGTCAGAGTAGGACCTGGGGTTACCAGCTGCTGGCTTATCAATTACGGTACAATTGCACCCGCCCTGAAAAATAAAGCATCAAATCAAAACCCCCATCACTCCCCAGAATTAAAACATCAAACAGGCCAGCGGTGTCATTCGTTATTAGTTTATTTTGTTACGAAACTAGCACATTATCGGAATCCGGGACAATAAGGTCCAATTACTGGACACGGGACATGACGCAAAATTCCGGGACAATTCCCGATTTCCCGGCCATCTGACGAGCATAGTAGAACCCCTGACTAATTTAATCGCAAAAACGTTGTTAAATTAGTTCGCCTGGTGTCTGTTAAATGACTGTTTGAAAACTTGCAACGCGGTAATGGTAACACATTAGGTGTAACTAGCAAACCAGTGAACCAAATGTTCACCAAAACCTGATTTCTCGAAAACCGGAAGTGCTACGTTACTCAAATCCGGTTTGTAGTCTTATCAGACTATTCTTAACTTATAACTTAAATATTCTCTTTATCTATCTCTTACGGTTTGGCCACTGAAACAGCACCACAGACAGACGGACGGACTTGTCTAATAGATAAGAGATAATTAAGTTAACGCAGTGTATTATTTAAGTATTCTGTTGCAAGACGATTGTTCTAGTTGTGAGGCGGGTACTAGCTAGTACTATGCTTAATTCATTGGTTATGGGAAATCCTTATCCTTTTGTTATTTTGCTTTGTATAGCCTAGTCGAAAGAAAGGATTAAGTACGAGACGTCTTATATGGAAATGACAATGAAACATAATAAATTAAAAGATATTATCAGAAATCAGAAATTTTATTGCATTTCATGTGGTAAATAAGGTTATATTATTACATAGTGTTAGTAGTTCCTGAAGCATTAACGTTATGGAAATAAAAGATACATTCAACATCAGCCTATTAATGCCCTCTGCTGGGGCACAGGCAGATACGGGTATCAAGATTTTAACTTCTATTCTTTTGATGCCTGACAACAGTTTTATATTATTTTATTTTGCTATTCTGAAGTATAAATTCTTGTTTTGATAAACTAGTTACGTTAAAATAATTATAGCTTTTAGTGTGGAAATTGTATTGATGCTAGCATACGAATTTTAAATTCATATTCCCTACCAGAACTGCATGGAGACGATATAAAATGCCAAAGAATCCAGAAAAAAATACACAAAAAAAAAAACTTTTTCATTATTTAGTTTACGTTTTTGTCTCCGTGACTAATACCTATGTAACTATATCTATGCCGAATTACAACTTTCTAATACCTACTAACGGTCTCTGTGCTAAGCTTTGACCAGAAGAAGGCAGACATGGACGAACTATGAGGGGCTCCTTGTTGGCTTTGTAATAAAATTTCATAAAATAGACCTCCCAGAACAAGTTCTGACAGTAGCACTTAGTCACCCAAATCAAAGAATTCCTACTTGGTCATGTCGTGGGGTTTCATTAAAACTTGAACACTATATCACCCACATTAAGTTTCATTTTCATGATAAAAAAACTCCAGCCCCCTTATCATGAGCACAACAAATTTATAATACATTTTTTATCATCATCATCATCAGCCTATTAATATCCCCACTGCTGGGGCACAGGCCTTCCCTATGGATGGAATAGGGAGATTGAGTCATGACCCACCACGCGGGCCCAGTGCGGGGTGGTGGGTGCTAACGACTGCAGATGCAGCCGGGACCAACGGCTTAACGTGTCTTCCGAAGCACGGAGGAGCTCGAGATAGTAAATTTTCGGTCACCCATCCAATGACCCACCACTGCGAAAGTTGCTTAAATTCAATGAACGCAGCGGAACGCGCTAACCACTTGCGCCATCGAGCTCCTCAGCGTTTTTTATCACTTCTAACAAACTCCATAGTAATTTGACAATTGAATGTGATAAAAACGCGTTATATATCATATCGTGGTGCTCATGCTAGGGTTGGCATATCAAAATTCATCAAAATTTAGGCAGGAATTCAGACATTAAATAATAACAGACACACCAAGGTACTTTCGCATAGTATCAATCTGAACATTAAAAAAGCTTTCTACATATTAACAGGTTAAATGACATTTGAATCCATATGGTCATGACATGATGTACTTGTATGAACTAATTTTTATTTACTGTATGTTTACAGAAGTGGTGTTGGATTAACTGATACAGTCTGTAACGAGGATTCAGCTACATTCGCAAAAGGTGGGACACTGGATGGGTGACCATAAGTTATTTAAATTCATGTTTTCGAAGCTTGATAAGCCTTTCGTATGAGACAAATGTATACACAAGTAATTGATAAAAGCCGAATTTAAGAGCCAGGTGGAATAGTAGCTCACAAACCCCAAGTGTATAGGTTGGAACTACAAGGTGCAAGTGTGATGAAACAAAAAAATAAAAATCACTTACATTCCAACTTGTGAACAGCAAGTAATGAACAATAATAATAATAACTTTGAACAAGACAAAATGAAATTAAAACAGCAGAATTAAATTAAAAATGGAAAAAACCAGTGTTCACTCAGAAACAAATAACAAAAAACTGATTTGAGCATTTGCCGGCCCACTAGATTATATCACAAAATCTATATGGTCATTGTTAGAGGTCCCTTATGTTACCAGTAAAAAAAAAATTACTTTACATAATATGCTATCCAGGATTTTTCTAACGGGATAGTATTGTATCAAGGGTTTGTAAGTATATTAATTAGAAATAACTAGCAAACCAGTGAACCAAATGTTCACCAAAACCTGATTTCTCGAAAACCGGAAGTGCTACGTTACTCAAATCCGGTTTGTAGTCTTATCAGACTATTCTTAACTTATAACTTAAATATTCTCTTTATCTATCTCTTACGGTTAGGCCGCTGAAACAGCACCACAGACAGACGGACGGACTTGTCTAATAGATAAGAGATTTTGATAAATACTTTAATCATGAGTTAAGCTCAGACACATTAATATAGATACCTTTATTTTTTATAATATTAGAATATTTATTGTATTGTAATATGGGTTGTTGTCAACCTAATTATTGTATTAAAATAAAGGGTAGAAAAGTCTTTGTTAATAAAAATTTTATGTATGATAGAGAATCAGTTAAAAATAAAGTTATTGATGAAAATAACTGTATCGGTATTGTTACTAAAATTCAAACTTTCAGTGTTTGGAATATAACAGATACAATAAATAATACTATTAGTAAACTAACGCAACTTATATTTTATTTAGTGTAAAAAACACACACGCATGCATCCTAAATCCATGTAATGTAGCCTTAAATTGGGGTTTACAAACAAGCTTCAGGTAAATGTTGGTAACAACCATCACTTTTCGAGCAAGATTGGCGATTGCTTATGGGCTCATGTGAAATAATGAGTGTTTATAATTCTATTTTATAACGTAATGTCTATGATATATATTTTTAATTAATTTTTATAATATTTGTATGATAAAGTAATCAAAAATAAGAATAGAATAAATATATAATCCTGTGATAACACTGTAATAATACAAATAATGATTAAATAAGTTACATTTGACTAATTCAGCAATGGATATTGGAAGTAATTAAATATGTATCTTTTTAAAAACATGGTTTCTTTAACAAACAGATTTGATTTTGATTTTTTATGTGTTGGGAAATAATATATTTTAAACTCAGTAAGTAATACTCACATTTTCCAATGAGTTGAAACTCCTGTCCCAGCTACTGACAGGAGTCCCACCGAACAGGTATCCCGGATATCTTTCACACATAGCACACTCGGCATACGCTGCCCTTGTGAAATATTACTACTAAACTCTATTTCAATATTGAGCAAATTACTTATAACATACTTCTTCAATTTTGTACACTTCTGAACTCTGCTAAATCACCTATAATAGAAACAAACAATAGTAAAGTAGAAGCTTCAAATATAGCATCCTTCATAAAAACATCAGTGAGCAAATATGCAACGAAGTTTTTTTTACTATTTAATTAAATTTAAAACCCAAAAACCAAGAACAAAGTTATGAATTAATTTAATTGAATAACTGAACCTATAATTCTTGAGAAAATTAAATTTAGAACTCGTACAAGCGTATGTTACGCGTCATATTAGGTTATACACGTAGAGTGCACAATTAAAGGATTTACAGTGGTTTCTTCCAAAAAAATACTGAAAAACATTTTCAGAACCACTTCGTAAAATGTTTTTGGTTGCCAATATGTGCGACTGTTACATGGAACATCACAACAGTATGAAGCGCTTAAAATGATGAATACATACTCACGTCTGTTAACATCAATTATATTATTTAATATATTGGTTCAATAATTAGATATTTAGAGCTTGATAAGTTTTTCTTACAACTCGAAAACGCAAACGTCGGTTCATGATTTTTTTTTGTTCTCTCATTCTCCCATTTTAAGGAATGCAAAGGGAACATTGCCCATACAGTCTTCAGTTTTATTTGTTCTTTTTTTACATTAAAATGTGGGTGTGATGCATTCTTATGTTTATTGGAGTGTTTGGCACAAAATATATCGAGTCAGCTTTCTCGATAAGCTTCTGTGAAGTAGTCAACACTACAATAAAGTTGACACGTCCACTTGATCGGATTAGCGTATATTTTAAGATTCCACTCATTCTCCAGTTGTACAGATGGTTGTAACACAAAATCACACCTATTTTATTTCACAATTACCACTATGAAGTGAACAAATCAAAGAATATAAAATAAGACGCCAACCGCACTCGATGAAATCCCGCCAAAAACTCCTCGTGGTGCTGAGTGGCCCAAATGAGCTATGACCATTAAACTTGAGAAAAAAAATCCCAAGACTAAACTGTATGAGTACGATGTCATTTACCATGAAAGAGAAATAAAAAAAGGTTATGGTGCCGATTCTGGCATAATTCTCTAAACTTAAAACTAAATTTAACTTCAGTCTCTCCTTCCGTCATTACGTCATCATTCCGTACAGGGACTAACAAGGATAAGCTGTTGTCAAATTTAATTTTAGGTTAAGAGAATCATGCCAGAATCGGTCACAGCTCATTTAGGCCACTCGGCACCACCTCGCGACTCCCCTCGTTGACGACGAGTAAACTCAGGTAAATGTGTTCGTTTTAAAAAGGAACAAAAATGAAATTACCAACTCATAACAGGAAATAAGACGCAAAGCTGTAAAACCACTAGGTATTACATTGGTGTCGATTCTGGCGTGATTCTCTAAACTTAAAACTAAATTTAACATCAGTCTCTCCTTTTCATTCTGTATAGAGAATGACAAGGATATACTGCTGTCAAATTTAAGTGTAGGTTTAGAGAATCATGCTAGAATCGACACCATTATTTGCATGTTTGTAGACGCCTCATTGGTGTCGCTTTTAGCATGATTCTCTAAACTTAAAGCTAAATTTACCATAAGTCTCTCCTTCTTATTCTGTAAAGAGAATGACAACGATACACTGTTGTCAAATTTAAGTTTAGGTTTAAAGACTCATGCCATAATCGACACCATTGTCAACCAGCTACCATCGAATGGGCCACAGGTGGACACCTCGTTGTCCACCAGTGAACGTCAGATGGTCGACAGGTGAAAACCGCGCCGCCGCGTACTTGACTTCGCGTTGTTAGAGAATATTAAATAGCTAATGTGTTAGAGATCGTCGCTAAGTTTACACGTGTGTTTTCACCATAGAGGTATAAGAGTAGAGTAGGGGAGATATAGACTACTACAAGTGGAAGTGTCCATTTAATAGAAAGAGAAAGCAGATGAGAGACTGCTAGCTTTTTCTCTCTAATCGCGCAAGTGCATTGGCAACCGTAAGCATCTTACTATTTCAATGTGATACCATTGGATGCCATGCATCACAAGAGAGAGCCGTCTTTCATCTTCTTTCTCTAACACATTAGCTTTCTACTAGACGAACACTTTTAGAGCCGCCTTCCCCACTCTATTCTTATACCTCTATGGTTTTCACACTGTTTCATTTTACAAACCGCTAATTGATTGTAATAGCTATCGCGCTAGATGAAGAAGAAAATGAAATGCGTTGTTAATTTGCAGGCCGCGTGTGGTCCCCTCAAGAGCAGTGCGTTTACAATCAGGGACCAGCACACAACAAGCGTGCGAGCAGCGGGTGGTTACCGGATTGTTCACCCACTGCCGCAGAGATGGGCGTTTTTAGATATTTGTAAAATCGATCGGTATCAGATAAATCGCATCGGATCCGCGCACCTAACCCATCGATGCCAAGTGAATGTCAGTATCGTAGTATCGCTAACTTTTCAGTGCAGGTGTCAAAAATTGTCAAAAAAACTAAAATTTGTCCATAGCATTGTGACATTTTAGGACATATTTTGCAAATATTTTGTTCACTAGTAGCGACATCTTCACCGGCACAGATAAGTTTGTGGCACGGTTGCTATAGTAACGTTGACTAAAACTAGATGGCTTCGGCATCCAATAACAGCATCCAGTCGCATCGGATGATTCTAAAAACGCCCACCTCTGCGCGCGGACAACTTGCGAGTGAGGCGATCCGGTGACGCTGCGGAGTTTATAGAAATATATACAAAGAATACTTAGCGTATCCATAGAAATATATACAAAGAATACTTCAAAGGCACGATTTGAGGCGATGCTGGCTGGTCGGGTGCCGGGTTGTTCTCATGACCTTTAAAAATATGCGTGATTAGAAAATATACAGCTTATAGGAAAGTACAAAAATAATTCGTTTTATTTAGGACTAATGAGTCGTCTTTTGTATGCTCTACCGCCTTATTAATAAACGAAGACTACGCTTGGATTAGTTATTCCATGTTTTGTCTCTGTTTATAGGATGACAAATGGCATTTGAGTGCCATGAACAAAAGACGGCGTAACTAGTCTAAGCTTATTCCTTATTTATTAATAAGCGGGTTAATGTTTTATTCTACAAGTATCATCTGAGAAACATTCTCTCAGTCAGGCTCATGGACGTACTATTTTAACGTTTGTTGAAGAAGTCTATGGTCAGGCTATTCTTTTTTAGGTACTCCCAAGCTCCTCCATGTAGTCGGTATACCCTTAAGGAGAGCTTGTCATGGTCGGGACCAGCGTCGTGCTGCATATTATCGCGATTCACGGTAGTGGGAGATTGCCTATGGAATACCTATCCGTGTATTGGTCGCATCGCAGCGCAGCTCTTCTACTTTGCTTAAGGTCAGGCGCCGTTCTCACCGTACATTGATGGACTCCCTTATGGGGGGGCGCAGGATAGAAACGGTTTCATTGTTTTGCCGATTTCTCTGTTATTTTGTAAGAATACCCTACACAAACTATATATTTAACATTAAACAGTGCCTACACAATGCTTCATGTCTATAATCTATTTTAATTACGTTACGGTAAACTCGGGAAAAATTAAAAAAGTCGTTTAGACGGGTAAAATGGGGTATATTTTCAAAATTTGTGTCGGGTGTCAAGCTGGCGATAAAAGCGCGCTCTAAGTGCCGTCATTTATGGGTTTACCTTTAGTTTGGATTATTTACGTTACTTTAGTGTTGGATGAATAGTCTTTGTTCATTTTATAGTTTCAAGAACTCTCAACAAGGCATTTGAAAATCGCCTTCAAGTCAGTCATCTCAATTTTATGTCGATAAAACGAAAAGTATTTACAATTTTCTTTAGAATAAACAAAAACTAATCACTAGTTCGCATACAAGAAAATAATATAAAAAAATATTTCGTTCGTGTATGTGAACGAAACGAAATTGTCTTTAATCTATTTTGTAAATTTTAACATAAAAAAACACTACCTTAGTATAGAGAATTACAACAAACACTACCTTAAATAGTTATATATTTTTATGGTATCTTCGTTCTTGTAGTACCTACCATTATTTTAATTTATAATCAGAGATATAAACTGATACTGAGGCTGTTTGGACTTAGTATTCTTTGCATTTTACTCTAGAAAAACTTTCGCTTGTCCTCCATTTTGTTTCTTCTCCATGCATCAGTTCTGAAACCACGTACAAAAAGTTGTTTTCGAAAATTCGTATGATCTGATAAGCTTGTGCGTATGTGAATATTATCTAATTATGAACGTTTTGTGTGCTTAATTGTTTAGGACATTATTTAATTGTGTTTGAGCCAGTAATTTGTAGGTAAGTGTTTAATCTGATCGATAGCGTCATCGTCACATTGAAGAATTCATTGTTCCAGTTACTTGTGACGATTTGCTTCCTACTTTCATACTTTTTATTTATCTAATCCGCAAATTGTGGTGTGGTTCTTTATCACATGTCAGTACACCTGCTACCACGATATTAATTTATGCAGGTTTAGCACCAACGATACATTACGTAAACTGATGTGACCAATACTTAATATAGTAACGCCTAGAAAGCCTAGAACACGTACGAAAAAGGCGCAACTCGAAAGTGAGCCAGTTCAGGCTTACTTGGTTCCGCGAGCTGTCAGTGCTAAATGGCGTGTCGTGTCTAACAATAATCAGCAAAACCATGGATAATAAATGCGTCCAAAACAACCAGGATAAAATAAAATAACTGTATATAAACAGTTCACCAGAGTGGCAATACCTATACAGTTTATTCCTGGAAATATTTTTGCTATCCAAAGAAAACATGACGTGAAGTACAACTGAATTATGTCCCTATACTATATGTGGGGCTCATAGATATATTACTCTATAGATTGGCAATGAACCTGTCAAAATGAGACCAAAATCTGAATGCACTAGTGGGTGCTCAAACTTGAACTGCTGGCGATCTACCTAGAAATTTTTAGACTACTTACGATCAACGCTGAGAGGCTGCATGGGTGTACCATAGCATATATAGATATTAGCAGTCACGATCGCGATCAACCGTTTGAGCACCCCTGCACTAGTATGTGTGGGTGTAAGCAGTAAGAGCTTTGACATGGTGTCACACACCCTGCCTGTACCTAACTTGCTTTGAAACTTGTTGCATAAAATCAAAGTTTTATGATATGAGAAGCTGGCGAATAAAACGGTATAATTCCATAGAATTTGAATTTTACAAGAGCAGTAAAAAACTGAATGACATACCTACAGTGAGCTTTTGGCATTATTTTTAACTTAGTAATTTTAACACTATTTTAGGCGGTTCCGATTGACATGACTAGAAATTCAAATTCAGCTGGCCCAAAACCTCCGGGCTGTAAAAATAAAGTATTATATGGTCAAAATAAAAAAAACATGCGTAATTATACTGTTTTGTTCGCAGCTCCTCATATATAAATCTTAAATAACATTACCAAGTAGAACCTCGCAAGCATAGCTTACGAAGGGGTGTTTTTACCTTAGGGACAATAGGGCCATCATGGCCTGGTGCTGCAGGCTTTGTTCTTAGTACCTAGATGCAGGGTTGCACTGGATAATTATCAGCAATAATTACGAGTAACCGTTATTGTACAAAACAAAACAATAGTACATTGTTGTTGAGGTGCAGAAAACCAGCAATTGAGGACAAGTAGAGTTTGAATAATACGAGTCAGTCATTTGCTAGTCCCACCGAGACTTACATAGTGCTTTTCTCAAAAAAATGCAAAGAAATAAATAAAAATTATGTAGAAAAGTAAATGAGAAATCCCCAGTTGTTTTAGTTTTCCCGTCTTTTCCTTTTGAGGTACAGAACCCTCAAAATAAAAATTACAATAATAAAGTCGTACACATGTCAAAATTAATAGTTTTTTAACAAAAGTAGTCTCAGACTCTTACGTAAAATTAATGTCTAAAAATAGAAAAAATATTTAATTTATACATTATTTGATTTGATAGTTGGATAATTATCAGAGAAAATAATTATCTTGATAATTTGCAACCCTGCCTAGATGTGATTTGCATTTGATGAAATAATTGTTTTTGATAACAAATTGACTCATTATTGCAATTGGTCAAAACAGCCTTCAAAGCGTTCCGCGACTATAATGGCTCAATTACACTTGATCTTTAGCCTGTATTTGGTTGCACAAAAGACAAAACTCAAAGCAATATTTACACTAGAATATGGGCTGGAAGATGCGTGGGGTAACCTATACGAAAACTACCTGAATACGGGTGTAATCGACTCTGTTCATTTACACTTAGTCGTTTACCCAAATTCCATGGGTAATCAAATTCGTGGTTAAGACTAACGCTTTTATTCATAAAAATGAAAACAGTTTAATAATCCTGTTTTAGCTAAAACACTGTTTTGTCTCGTTCTTTCTTAGCGCTGTCAAGATTTGAGAGAAAGTGACAAAACAGTGCAATAGTTAAAACAGGTTTATTAAACTGTTTTCATTTTTAGGAATAAAAGCGTAAGTGTAATTAGGATCCGTAACCATTTAAGTTGAGAATGCAGAGCAGATTTATGGAGCTAAGGATATCCATAAAATACAGTGGTTAATTATTGTTCTAAGACAAATATTGACGAATTTTCGGCTGGCCACTTGATGGCTATGACGTCACAGAGCTCTAGCGCTCGGGCGCGAGCGTACTCACATACAGACACACTACTGAAGTTCGACCGGAGCGAATTACGATCGAGTTTTGTGACGTCACACGTTTCGACCGCTGGTGAATATTAGCCTATTAAATCATAATACTGTTGATTTCGAGTTGATTTGCTGACCTAGTAATGATCCTCATTGGGCCATAAGTCAATCCCGCCCTCCTAGCATGAGCACGCCGACATGATGTACCATGTTTTTAGCACGTGAACTTAGAAGTTATAAAAACGTGACTAATTGACTATACAGGCTGTTTCTTTTAGGGTGTCAAGCCGGTGCGAGCTGATAGCGGAGTACCATACCTATCAATTGAACCTCCATGTATGTGCCACAATTTTTCAAAGTATTCGAGTTAGAAGTTTTTTCGTCAATTTTTATGATTCAACGATGAAACAACTTTGAAAAAGTATAACTTCTTTTTGGGTTAAGTTTTCTTCGATATTTTTTTTTACAGAATGCCTATTGTTTGTTGTTTTATAAGTTAAATGATGACATGTGAGTGTGCACAGAATTTTACGATCCGAAAGAATACATCCGTATATCAAACTGAAACTAGCAGCCACCAGCTAGCAGCCGACATGGACGAAACATAGAAGATAGGGTCCGGGCCCTATATTTTTTAAAAATTAGAATTTTTCGTTGCGAAATTACAAATAATATTAAAAATTAACGTGACAAGTTTTGGTACCTTTATCTCCTCTGCTAAAAATATAATTTTAATAAATTGTTGAAACTGAAACTAGCAGCCGACATTCTCTTGAGACAAAAATTTTTTTTTCAACTAAACTATTAGAGTATCTTGGCTGACATTACACCCACTATTTCTTCACCCTAAAAAGAAGTTCTGGGGAAAATTTCAGCAATTTCGTATGTTTAGGAGATGAGATACAGCTTTTTTTAAAAATAAATAATCTTTCTCCTGAGAGAAAATATTTTTTTACAACTAAACTATTAGAGTATCTTGGCTGAAATTACTTCCACTATTTCTTCACCCTAAAAAGAAGTTTTGAGGAAAATTTCAGCAATATCGTATGTCTAGGAGATGAGATACAGCTTTTTAAACAAAAAAAAAATATTCTCCCGAGAAAATTTTTTTTTACAACTAAACTATTAGAGTATCTTGGCTGAAATTACTTCCACTGTTTCTTCACCCTAAAAAGAAGTTTTGAAGAAAATTTCAGCAATTTCGTATGTCTAGGAGATGAGATACAGCGTTTTAAACAAAAAAAAAATCTCCTGAGAAAATATTTTTTTACAACTAAACTATTAGAGTATCTTGGCTGAATTTACTTCCACTATTTCTTCAACCTAAAAAGAAGTTTTGAGGAAAATCTCAGCAAGTTCGTATGTCTAGGAGATGAGATACAGCTTTTTAAACAAAAAAAATATTCTCCCGAGAAAATATTTTTTTACAACTAAACTATTAGAGTATCTTGGCTGAAATTACTTCCACTATATCTTCACCCTAAAAAGAAGTAGTGAGGAAAATTTCAGCAATATCGTATGTCTAGGAGATGAGATACAGCTTTTTAAAAAAAAAAAATCTGAGAAAATATTTTTTTACAACTAAACTATGAGAGTATCTTGGTTGAAATTACTTCCGGTATTTCTTCACCTTAAAAAGAAGTTTTCAGGAAAATTTCAGCATGTTCGTATGTCTAGGAGACGAGATACAGCTTTTTAAACAAAAAAAAAATATTCTCCTAAGAAAATATTTTTTTACTACTAAACTATTAGAGTATCTTGGCTGAAATTACTTCCACTGTTTCTTCACCCTAAAAAGAAGTTTTGAAGAAAATTTCAGCAATTTCGTATGTCTAGGAGATGAGATACAGCGTTTTAAACAAAAAAAAAAATATTCTCCTGAGAAAAAATTTTTTTTGAAACTAAACTTTTAGAGTATCTTGGCTGAAATTACTTCCACTATATCTTCACCCTAAAAAGAAGTAGTGAGGAAAATTTCAGCATGTTCGTATGTCTAGGAGACGAGATACAGCTTTTTAAACAAAAAAAAATATTCTCCTAAGAAAATATTTTTTTACTACTAAACTATTAGAGTATCTTGGCTGAAATTACTTCCACTGTTTCTTCACCCTAAAAAGAAGTTTTGAAGAAAATTTCAGCAATTTCGTATGTCTAGGAGATGAGATACAGCTTTTTAAACAAAAAAATATTCTCCCGAGAAAATATTTTTTTACAAATAAACTTTTAGAGTATCTTGGCTGAAATTACTTCGACTATTTCTTCACCCTAAAAAGAAGTTTTGAAGAAAATTTGAGCAATTTGGTATGTCTAGGAGATGAGATACAGCTTTTTAAACATAAAAAAAAAATCTCCTGAGAAAATATTTTTTTAAAACCAAACTTTTAGAGTATCTTGGCTGAAATTACTTCCACTGTTTCTTCACCCTAAAAAGAAGTTTTGAAGAAAATTTCAGCAATATCGTATGTCTAGGAGATGAGATACAGCCTTTTAAACAAAAAAAAATATTCTCCCGAGAAAATATTTTTTTACAACAAACCTATTAGAGTATCTTGGCTGAAATTACTTCCACTGTTTTTTCACCTTAAAAAGAAGTTTTGAAGAAAATTTCAGCAATTTCGTATGTCTAGGAGATGAGATACAGCTTTTTAAACAAAAAAATATTCTCCCGAGAAAATATTTTTTTACAACTAAACTTTTAGAGTATCTTGGCTGAAAGTACTTCCACTGTTTCTTCACCCTAAAAAGAAGTTTTGAGGAAAATTTCAGCAAGTTCATATGTCTAGGAGATGAGATACAGCGTTTTAAACCAAAAAAATATTCTCCTGAGAAAAAAAAAATCTTGAAACTAAACTTTTACAGTATCTTGGCTGAAATTACTTCCACTGTTTCTTCACCCTAAAAAGAAGTTTTGAAGAAAATTTCAGCAATATCGTATGTCTAGGAGATGAGATACAGCTTTTTAATTTCAGCCAAGATACTCTAATAGTTTAGTTGTAAAAAAATATTTTCTCTGGAGAATATTTTTTTTTGTTTAAAAAGCTGTATCTCATCTCCTAGACATACGATATTGCTGAAATTTTCCTCACTACTTCTTTTTAGGGTGAAGATATAGTGGAAGTAATTTCAGCCAAGATACTCTAACAGTTTAGTTGTAAAAAAATATTTTCTCGGGAGAATATTTTTTTTTGTTTAAAAAGCTGTATCTCATCTCCTAGACATACGAACTTGCTGAGATTTTCCTCAAAACTTCTTTTTAGGGTGAAGAAATAGTGGAAGTAAATTCACCCAAGATACTCTAATAGTTTAGTTGTAAAAAAATATTTTCTCGGGAGAATATTTTTTTGTTTAAAAAGCTGTATCTCATCTCCTAGACATACGATATTGCTGAAATTTTCTTCAAAACTTCTTTTTAGGATGAAGAAACAGTGGAAGTAATTTCAGCCAATATACTCTAAAAGTTTAGTTACAAAAAAAATTTTTCTCTGGAGAATATTTTTTTTTTTGTTTAAAACGCTGTATCTCATCTCCTAGACATACGAAATTGCTGAAATTTTCTTCAACACTTCTTTTTAGGGTGAAAAAATAGTGCAAGTAATTTCAGCCAAGATACTCTAATAGGTTTGTTGTAAAAAAATATTTTCTCGGGAGAATATTTTTTTGTTTAAAAAGCTGTATCTCATCTCCTAGACATACGAAATTGCTGAAATGTTCCTCAATACTTCTTTTTAGGGTGAAGAAATAGTGGAAGTAATTTCAGCCAAGATACTCTAATAGTTTAGTTGTAAAAAAATATTTTCTCTCAGGAGGAAGATTATTTATTTTTTAAAAAAGCTTTATCTCATCTCCTACACATACGAAATTGATGAAATTTTTCCCAGAACTTCTTTTTAGGGTGAATAAATAGTGGGTATAATTTCAGCCAAGATACTCTAATACGTTAGTTGAAAAAAAAAAATTGTCTCAAGAGAATGTCGGCTGCTAGTTTCAGTTTCATCATCCGTATCATATTAGAAAAGTGCAAGACGTACTTCCGGCGGATTACCAAAAGAGTACTAAATTCTGTGGACGGACGATGCAAAATTCACTAGAAATGGCATTTTTAACATGCATAATTACCACTCCTATCCGAGAATAACTCGCAGTCTCAGTTTTCGAACTCAATTTTCTATAAATCTCTAGGCGGGTTTACTAAATAGAGAATTGATTGAGCCCTTTGAGTTGCGTTGAGATAGGTTGCGGTGGATAAATAGCTTGGCCACCTAGATAACCTGATCTAAACCCCAAGCATTTTTTCGCATGGGGTTTCTACAAAGAAATAGTATACCATACAAAATACCAAAATATTCAAGAACTTAGAACAAAGTTGTCAGAAGCGCTAAACCAAATAAGATCACAACAGGAAGCATTTACAAATTTATGGAGAATTTTTTGCGGCGGTGCAGACCGTACTTATTAGTTGGTAGCCGGCATTTTGAACATTTGATATAACAATGGAATAATAAATATTTTTAATCACAATTTGGGTTTTATTTTGACTCCTTCTGTAATTTTAAGGATTGTAGTAGGGAAATAAGTATATTTTTATTATCAACAGAGGTCTGTTATAACGTATAAAGATAATTAATTTCAGAATTGATTAAAATATGCAAAGATAATTATAAAAAAATCCGATACAACCTTTCAACAACAGATTTCAGAATGATGCACAATTTAGTACATCTTTTTTGTATTTTAATGAAAGCTTATGTAGTTGTGCAGTTTTAAAAATTGGTCAGAAGTTATGGAACAGCTATTTTTATTTTAGTTGAAAACCATTCTGTTTTACTTAATCCTTTTTAAAGAATTGTATCGATCAAAATTTTAAAATCTTAGGTTAAGTTAGGAACAAGATTATTTTACTTACAAAACTACAAAAAATAGGCATACTGTTAAAAAAAATATCGAAGAAAAGTCTATACTTTTTCTTCGTTGAATCATAAAAAATAACAAAAACAAACTAACTCGAAAACTACGAAAAATCGTAGAACATACATGGGGGTTAAATTGATTGGTATGGTACTCCGCTATCAGCTCGCACTGGCTTGACACTAAAAGGAACACTCTGTATATCATAACATGGTGGGTAGTGCTTATGCTAGAGTGGTATGTATATGTTTAACCAATCATTTCACACCATGAATTAAAAATAAATATAAAGTACCTAAAAAATAGTAAAAATAATAATAATATAAAGTAATTTTCTCCCTATGATCTCAAAAACTATTAAGTATTGGGGCGTTTGTTAACGAGACGATTTTATGTAGTTTTATACCTGGCCCGTCCCCAAACAATTGCTAGCGCTGGTGTCGTTAACAAACCTCCATCCATAATGTCCCTTACCTAACTGAGGACTGGACGCAGACACGGTTTAAAACCGTGCCTAGACCCAGCTAAAAATCGTCTCGTTGACGTTGAAATGGTAAAGGCCCTGAAAATGTTGAAAGAAATGTTTCGAAAAATAAAACGTTTATCTTTTCGATTTCAAGATACACACACAGGCAGAAAGAACAAAGGGTCAGTCATAAACCACGGTCCATAAACACTTTTTGCTTACTTTGCATATTGCAAACTTTGAATTCATGATGAAATATTTAAAAGTATCGTAAATTCAATATTATATTAAAGAAAAAGGATAAGTTCACTAAATCAAAAACTTTAAACAATAAAATGAGTTCACTAAAGATAACAGCAATTGTCTGTTTAGCTAATTATTACTTCAGGTAGCAAGCAATGCGTCACTTAATCGCCCACAGGTTCAGTTGACCGTGGACGTTCGAGTGAAGTGGTTGTTTAAACTGTTGTGTTGTGATGCGCTCCGCACATTCTAACGAATAAGAACCGGCATATGGACACCCTGTTTCCCTTTTTATAGGTAACGCGAAATCATCGGCAACAATGAGTGTCATCATACGGCTGCAGAACCTTCCGTGGTCGGCGAATGCTCTGGACATTAGGAATTTCTTTCGGGGCCTCTCTATTCCCGAAGGAGGAGTTCACATCGTAGGAGGAGAACTCGGCGATGCTTTCATTGCGTTCAGGTAGCTATAATGTAAATTCACCATAAAATCAAAATCCTGAGGTATATTCTAAGGAAATATTCTTTTGAAAATATCGCAGCGATCGATCTTTACGACAGAATAATTTAAGTAGATTTAAGATATATACCTGATTAATTTAATAAATGGTCTTTTATACACACACTGTTTATACCCAAATCATCAAATGAGGAGAGCGGACCACGTTGTGCACGTTGATATGGTTGATAGCCAGGCTACGAGTTAACAATTAAGTTTGATACATTCTTTGAAATGGCATCGTTTTGGATAAAAATCTTGCATTCAAATAACACTAATGTATTTACTATTTATCACAACTGTCGAAGAATTATCAACAAGCCAATAAAACAACAATTGCTATAAAAACACCTTACGCAGATCTATAAATATCATGCTGAATGATGATCTTGAAGGTTTCACACGACTTTTGGAGCATCCAACAGGGTTTGTAGTTCGAAGTTAAGTTTAGGGTACGAAAATATGCATTTCTACAGCTAGCTCTCCATAGAATTCGGCGAAGCTGCTTCACATTTTGGATAAAAGTGGTAAGTATTCTACTCATTCACTAGGATTTATTAGGATTGCCTAACTAAATTATAATTAGTTGAACGAACCTACATCTTTATCTATATGTATTAGCTAGCGTCAGGATCCGCTTTTAATAATGTAATTATGTGATGGCTGACAGTTACAATCTTCTTACATTATTAGATGTCGATATATCCAAAATTATATATATAAAAAATATCGCCAATAATATTATTAAAATATATACAGAAATGCCAAAATATCTGCTAAGTAATATTTTTATATGGTCTGACGAAGAAGCACTTGTTAAATATAATAATAAGTCAAACTATTATACACCAATCTCTAAACAAAACGTGGAACATGTTGTTCTGAACCAACAATGCTCTTGACTCTGAAGGTTTATCGGTAAGTAACCGATAAAGACAGAATATTATTATATTAAGATCACTTGTTGTTACTAAATGTTCATCGTAAATATCTACCGACATTCAAACTTTGCCATTCTCACGGCCAATTTCAGCTTCTGGATTTGGCGGCATGCAGCTACTTCGTCTAAGGTGATATTCTGTTACAGCCATTTCCTACAAAAATTTGATATTTCTTATGTTTTCAGTTTAGTTTCCTGAGTTTTCCTGTCTTTTAATTCTTTTAATTTGTTTATGTTTGAAATAAACAATATGTACCGAATGTAACCGTACTAAACGAAAACGAGACGCTTTGCCGCACCTTATTATGGCTTTTTTTGGATTTTTTGTTAATACCGAACTATGCTATTGTTTGGTACCACATCGTATTTTTACCTTTGAAAGCACAATCTGTTGTTCTAAACAATGCAATTAGGTACTTCTCGCTAAACCTTTACAACATAATAGTTATTGATAAACAACTTCAAAGGTTTCCCTTAATCATTGTTCATATTTCTATGAGTGATACTTACACTAAGAAAGTTAATTACCACGAGACCTAAATGGTTATTTAGTAACGTTTTATTTGAATATTCAAACAGAATATTGAACAACTTGAAACTTGGGCAGGTGGGATAATATAAGTGTTATGGCTCAATTTGGTCGTTAGCCTTTATTCGGATGCACGAAAGACTACTCGAATTCGGCCACCCGAAGCAATATTTACACTGGAATACGGAAAACGGTGTCGGATAACCAAAATGAGAACTACCCGCATACGGGCGTACTCGACTCCCTTCATATACACTAAGTCGTTTACCCGAATTCCATTTGCACTCGTATTTGGGCTAACGACCAAGTGTTTTCGCGCCATTACTGTAAAATGAATTTATCTAGCTATGATATTTAAAGTTGGAAAAATCTTAAATTCTGCCTTTATTTCGCCTAGTTCTGATATAAGTATCTACACTCGACAGCGACCGGGCCACCCCCGCTAGTGTACATTGGGAGCTGTTATTTGATTTTCTCAAAAAGTATAACATTTACAACAAAAGCTATATTTATTGAATATGCGTTTCATGATGATTAAAATTACAAAAAAATCTAATATATGCTCAACTTTGTTATCAAGCATGAAACATGCTGCTTACGATTTTTATTTATTTTTTAATAACGTTATCGTGCTTTTTTATAATCTGATACTTCCTATAATTTCTTTACTTTTTGTCCATAGTTTTCTCCGACGTGTGCATTTTTGTTTAGATTTTTACTACCGATTAACACAACTGGAAAGCGGCTACGACTCTTTGGAAAATTCTTAAAAAATGATTAATTTTAATAGTTTCCTGTTGGTTTAACTTTGATAGTTGTAAATTTTATAGTCTTTGAGAAAATTAAATTGGGTTTTTAAGGTAACAGGCGGTCCTTTTTGGTTTTTGCTGCCCAATGTCAGTCACTTATGATACCCAAGTATATCGGTACAATAATAAATTCCTGACGACCAAAACAAGTATTTTGTACCTAAGCAGAGCTTGTGCTCTGAAAACTAAATATGTAATATATTGTCGAATAAACTAATTCTTATTCAACTATGGCTCGGGACCAAATACTTGTTTCATCACACAATTAAATGCCCCTACCGGATTCAAACATAAGAACTTCGAAGCAGAAGGCAGATCTGGAACAGCGTTGCTGTTGCACCATCCACCATTTAAATCTATACACGAAAGAATACCCAAAACATTTCTAATTTTGCATAATTTAAATTTTTGAAATTCTCATGATAAAGGAACCAAGCCTTGTAATAAAATAACGTTACTTCAAATATTTGCCTAACAATCTATCAACTTCAAGGTACTATAACTAATTAAAAGTCGTTAGTTAATTAAGTGTATACACGAAAGAATACCCAAAACATTTCTAATTTTGCATAATTGAAGGCTTTTCATGATAAAGGAACCAAGCCTTGTAATAAAAAAACTAAGTAATTAAAAGTCGTTAGTTAATTAAGTGTATCTATATTATAAATGACGAAAATAATTAAAGAAACCTTTAAATGCTACTACCGTAATTGTCTTTGTCTACGCATACTAATATATTTTTTAACATGATTCTGACTAATAATTACTAACATACATCAACATCATACAAAAAACATTACAGATTACCTCGTTTGTATTAAAAAAAAAAGATATTTTTAAAAATATAATTATCGTGACATAGTTGTGTGTATTTTACTAATGAGGATACATCATGTTAGTTTACGTTCGTGTTGATTCCTAATAGTGTCTGATTACACTGACTCAAATAAGACTTACGTTCAATTAGGATTTCGAACCAAACCTTATTAATAATTAGAAGAGGTGGGTCGCAAGTACGTAAGGTAGTAGTAAATTCTTGAATTCAGTGAGGTCGCCAGAGCATCATGGAGTATCATAGAGTTGGCAGTACTAGTACGACGTCCGGACGATTTCAGGGTAAAAAATATTTAATGTCCTGTTATAAAGTTTTTGATCAGGCGTCGGCAATTAAGACAACAGGAATTCTAAGAATAGGATACTTCCTTTAACTACTTAAACAACATTTGAAAAAAAAAAACGTTATTCTATAGGATTTTTGGAACTGGGAATTTGTAAACGGGCCAGTACTGAAAAGCAGCCCAAAAAACTCACATTTGTCAGCCTCTTTTTGAAGGCAGCTACATTATATGCTTGATAATTAGTCAACTTCTTTTACGAAGGTCTGTTCCCTTGCTAAACCTTGTCGTGGTCAGTTTTAAACATCATATGAGTCTTAGTTCGGATAAGCACATTCGACTGACGGCACAACGCTGATGTCAAAATAGCTGGGATGAATATAAAGAAAACATCGGAGCTCTACAAACACCTCAAGAATAAATACATAGAATAGTTACCTACAATAGGGATAACTTTGATGCATCACTTCAAAAAAATTAAACTAGGCTAATTGAGACTCAAATTTCACAAATGGTTTACGACAGAAGGTCTAGAAAGAAAGCGAAGGATCGGTGGGCCAATCGCCTAACCAGATTGCTTTGGAAAACGCTATCGCTTACGATTTCATTTTGTTATTTCTAACCGCCGAAATACCTCACGCTCATTTTCTTTAACATTGTTATTACCAATGCAAAAGAAAAAAAAAGAGCGCGAGGCATTTGAAAACCTCAGGGGGCTAGAAATAACAAAATGAAATCGTAAGCGATAGCGTTTTCCAAAGCAATCCAGTTAGGCGATTGGCCCCCGGGACATGGTAAAACCGTTCTACAACACGATTAAAACAAATATTTGCATGTGCTTAATTTAAAAATACAAAACGAGTGGTTGTCTATAGGTGTTACAGCTCCTGTATCTCATTGGCACTTGATGGCCTACCTTTATTGAAGACTGGTCTCCTACTGCTGAGTTTTCAATTGACTTTCCAAAATAAATTAATTGTATGGGAAAGCCTTAGAAAAATCTTGTCTAATTTGCGTAGAGGAACTTTTAGGTATTGATAGATTAGTCTCTTGATTTTGAGACCTCTAACCAATTTTTCATCAACAACTTTGATTTCATAAGAAGGGGAAACCAGCTACGAAATCTTTGGTACCAGCTCTTTTCGATCCTAAATGATACAGCTTATTTATAAACATTGCAGATGTGGGTGTTTTGTCATCTACACCAGACATACTCGTATTATCGACAAAGATTTAGGTACGTGCAATTTACAGTAGAGCTTACCGTTCCATGGAAGACAAGTATCCATAAAGTAGTTCAAAAAACGATATTATAAGCTTCACACTTAAATGGTATCTAAAACCGTGTTAGTAGTCTTCACACCATATATGGCCAAGCAAAAAGCGGCAGCGGAGGGCGTCAATGCCTATTTAAAGTAGTTCCTGAAAGGATGCACTTGTTTGACAAATTCCAGGTATTGTTCGGTGCTGACGTCGTCCTGTCTAAATCTCATCTTAAAAGCTGAACTGACACAACGGAATAGTTAGGTTAAACAATAAATGCATAAGTAAGTACAATAGTGAGAGGAAAC